TTGCAAAGAATTTGGACTCGAAAGAATCAGAGCGACTCCACATCGGTGCAGATACCCTGTCCGAACACGTGACACATACACACACACACACACACACACATATTTCCCAGTGTGAGGGGGAGGGCACATTTAACTTTCTCTCTCTCTCGCTGGTTTCTGTGCTACTGGAGCAAAGGGTAAAGGAGAAGAGAGGATACAAGAGGGAACACACAGTTCCTCCCTTCACTCTGGATTTTTTTGGAAAGGAAATAGTCCACTGGTGCTGCCTCGTGTCAAATAACATTATGCTGCAGTGCGTGTCAGCGACTAATATGGCCGATAGAAATATCAGAAGATAATTGAAGTAGGCAGAGAAAGAATCCATGAATCAGAACATGTATTCTGTATTTTCTAAAGGACAAAAAACTGAATGAATGAGAAAAACATACAGAAAAAAACAAAGCTGGATTCTATCAAAACTCCATTTGTTCCCACTTTGCCGCACTCTCCTCCAGCTTTTTCCTCTTCTTTCACTTTTAAAGTATCTCAAACAAAGTTGCAGTGGCTGCAAGATTTTGTTCCAATATTTCAATTAGATCCCTTTTTATTTGAATTAGTCCATATTAAAATAAGTGATATTCCCATTGAACCACTAATTATAAAAGCAGATTATTTATGGTTAAGGCACACTCGTTAAAAACAAGTGAACATCATTATTTCCCTAAATGTGGTTGATATCAGTACTTGGTATTAGGGCATATAAGCAAGACGTCACAGAACCAATAAATGCTTAATTGGATATGTGGTTCCCTTATGGATGCTATGGTTGACATATGGTTAAGGTTGAGCAACTAAAACACTTGGTTAAAGGACAAGTGTGTGGGATTTAGTGACATTTAGTGGTTGTAATTGCAAATTTCAACACCCTCACTTCACCCTTCCCTTCCAAGTGCAAAGGAGAAACTATGGTGGCTGCGAGAAACGCATGAAAAACGCAAACTGCCCTATCTAGAGCCAGTTTTTGGTTTGTCCGCTCTGTTGTGGCCTCCATGGAAGTTAATCCACCGCCTGTAGATTAAACACTTTCCACCTCACTACTACAAAATTATACTTTCCACATTGACACTGAATGGTGGACACAAACCCTGAACTGGAATTGCTGATATAAATGTTAGGGACATTGTCTGTCTTTCAGCAGTTTCCCGTTGGTAGTTGCTACAACAGATCATCTACCAGTTTTACGCAACCTTTTAACCAGGCTTCGGATCGGCAATTAGGAATGCACTGGTTTGTGCTGGGAAGCAACCTGGGGTTCAGTATCTTGCCCAAGGACGCTTCAACATGTGGACAGAAGGAAGAGGGGGTTTGAACATGTGATCAGTAGACCACCTGCTCTACCTCCCGAGCCACAGAGCTCCAGTAGTAGAATTTGTCTGTGCCACTTTCTGAGCTAACTTGGCACAAAAGGAGGGCAAGATTAATTCCTAGTTTTACTTAAAACCTCCATTATGTTGTTACTGGGCAGCATTGACAGCAGACATTCAACCAAAGGCCATAATCATTTAGACTTACCTTCTTTGGCCCTTTAGTGGCCTTAAACTATTTTAAAAATGTCAAACAAGCGCTGCAATTCACCTCAGTCAACTGATCTCATTTCAGCTGTAAAATATGCGACTGTACAACCCTGAACCTGCTGACCACCTCAGCTGCATTCAGATGATGGAGAGAATAAGTCCCAGAAATCTGAGTACGGAGACGAGGTCATTGTAAGAGATGGACAAACTAAAGCAGGATGACCTTGTAGGTGATCTGAGAGGAGTTTAGAGAATATAAATCAGAGCTGTCGAGGTTTATTCTAATCACATCCCCGCCGTGGTTGTCAAAAAACAGCACTAATGGCATAAAATGAAAATAATTATGGTACTTTTAATTGATTAGTTGGTAAATGAGCACTTTGGTGTGTGTCTCTAAGGTAAAATTAGGAAATCACGATAAACAAAACAATGATTGCATTGTATGTTTCTATTCTAACAGAGTTTAAATCTGCTCTGTGGACACTGTTGTACATTGGTAACGTATTAACTCAAACAATTTAAGGAAGAAAGATATTTGATTTGAGTAGAAGTAACTCAAGTATGATTTATTATTTGAGGTAACTTGGATGAATTAAGTTAATTGTACTAATTCCATTCAGTTAATTGAAGTTACACTCATATGCAGCATTTCCAAACTTTTAAAAAAATCTGAAAAAGTCACTTAAATGCATCTTTTTTATATAAATGTTACCACTTAAGTTGAATTTACTCAGTTTTTTTCCACTAAAGTTTAAATTATTAACCTACCTGTAAAAACAGCTGATGTACGATAAAAATAATTTACAATTAATCGATTATCAAATTGTAGGCAATTCATTTACTGTGTTTTTTTTTAATATGACTAGATTTAATTGTTACACTTCGGGGATCATTAAATATCACATCATATTTAAATGAATATTTAAGTTCACTCAAAACAAGTGAGTTGCTTCAACAATTAATTTTTAGTTAGGTTTAATTCATGTGAATGAGTGACTCCAGTTTTTTGGAGGATTACTTTATACAAATTTGGGATTCAAAATATTGCTGAATTTGGCTGAACTAAATAAAGCAAATGTGTAACTGAATGATGAGCCATTTGGGAGCTGAAAGAGCCTGCTCTTATTGCTGAGCTGAGCCAAATGATCTGGATCTCTAAAAAGAAAGAATCCCATCATTAAAAGCCAGACAAAAATCTACTGGACATTCCCAAATTCCAATTACTAACCCTTTATTGTAAATACAGAAAATTGAGTCCCCTTATGTGTGTGACATGTAATTAAAAGTAATTTGTTATAAAAGTTGATATTCAAACTTATATTTGTCCTACAGGCTGTTTGGGTATAAGTGTAAATGTTTTTTAATGCGTCAGTTCTTTTTAAAAATGTGCTCAGATTTCTAATCAGTCACCACATCGAACACCTACAACTGTTATCAGTACCTCTGGCTGCGCCTCCGGTGACGTCACCGCGCCACCATATCTTTACTTTGGCACCTCTCAGTCTGCAGGTAGAAGTAGGAAGTGGACAGAATAACACGAACAATCGCAATGCAGTACAACGACACCACAAACTAGCCTCAGAGATGTGAGTCCATTCAACACAAAAATTAACACAGTTCTGTTGCAAGGCTGCTATATTACAACAGTTTGTACAGATGTTCATGCTGTGCTGTTTTATTCCCAAAAAGGAAGCTGGAATTTCCAATGTCGGCATGAGATTTGAATTAAATTAAAGGACAAATAACGATTATTAATTTAATTTCTAAATGTATCTGTCAATTATATTTTCTATTTTCAGAAAATGGAAAAAACTGTGACGTCCTCCAACTTCTTTCTTCGTCCACAACCCACAGATATTCAGTTTACTGTCATTAGAGGACTAAAGGAACCAGAACATATTCACATTTGAGAAGCTGAAATCAGAGAATTTGGACATTTATCAAAATAGTTGGAGATTAATTTAATAGTTGACAACTAATCAGTTAATCGACTAATCATTACAGCTCCAATAGACACTGATCCCACTGCGTTTAATCAGATCAGTATCAGAATAAAAGTATGCAGAATGAAATATTAGACTGAGATTTAAACATAAGCAGAGAATAAAATAAACAAAAATAATTAAAGCTGCAGTAGGTAACATTTATAAAAAATCACTTTTTTGTCATATTTGCTGAAACTTTCATTATATCCTGACAGTAGAACAAATCTGGTTCCTCTGGCTCCTCCTAGTGCTCCCAATGGCATCTTTAAGAATCCATCGGGCCTGAATGAAAGCAAGCAATCTTGCTTTGGAAGCTGAGAATGATAGAAAAACTTGAACTTGAACTACATTTCTCGGCTCTGATTGGTTGTTTTCGTTCAGGCCTGGTTACCTACTGCAACACCAATATTTTTACCATCTTGGTGAAGCTTTTATGGGCTATTTATTGCCTTTTAATTGATAGTGACAGCTGAAGAGTGACAGGAATGGGGGGAGAGGGAGGGGGGATGACACAACAAAGGGCTACAGGTCAGACTCAAGCTGCAACGAGGACTTAGCCTGGGTACGTGGGGCGCCAGCTCTATCGGGCGAGCTATCCGGGCACCCCAGGGCTTTTATTGTATTTTATGCACACATGCTGAATTGCACTTAATAATACTGTACAAATACATACACAAACCACAGAAACAGGGGGTCTGTAGGGGCCCACAACTCATTTCTGCCCCTGATCTCCTTGAGGGTTAATCTGGCCCTGGTCATTTAGAAACAATAAACAGAAAACAGTGGCCCGGGTTCAATTCCAACCTGTGCCCCTTTGCTGCCTGTTACCCCCCCCCGTTCTCTCTCCCCACCTTCCTGTCTCTCTACAGCTGCTGCTATCAAATAAAGGCAATAAAAGCCCCCAAAAATAATCGTTAAAAAAAAATAAATGAACAGAAAACAGCTGATCCAGATAACGTACATGTTTTATTGTCTTTATTAACATCACTTCCTGCGAATGTTCTTCATCTAAATTTACTACTCTGTCTCAGATGTTGCTGTAAACTGCAGGACAGAAATGTGGCTGGAAGGATTCATATCCAAACCAAACACGCAGCAGGAGGATGGATGTGGAGAGTTTTTTTATTCACCTGTTCACAATTTACAGTTTGATAAGGACATAAATTGTCTTGCTGGATGCGGATTGGGCGCGCAGAACCCTTTTGGCCTCATTTTATTGCGCTCCATCTCTTTAAATCATTAACTCTGAGCTGCAGGGAAATCACAGATAAAGAGGTTCGACCTCAACATGTATATATATTTCCAGAATTATTATTACATGACAGACGTCTAATGAAGAAAAATAAACATAGAGCTCATCTTTGTTTGGTTTTTAACGCCATATTCCAGTGAGGTTTCGGACCCTCCTCCTCCTGTGCGCAGCGCCACCGGGCAGCTCTCCACAGAGGCGGGGCCAGTGACGTCCCCAAGTCGGCCAAACCTTAAACTTGCACTTTAAGGACTGGAGAGAGGGGATGAAGGGAAATATTAATGACACGACAGGAATGAAGAAGTTATTGGAGGAATAACGCGCCGGTACACGCGATGTCCGTTTATAGTTTCACTTTTACGCGTCTCGGTTCTTTCTGCCTCCAGTGACTGTGCAGCCGCGGCGGAGCCAACACAACCAACAAAAAGCCAACACAACTCCACAAGCAGCAGCTGATCTCTTCCTCTGGTCACCGCCTGAACCCAGTGACAGGTTTGTGACATGAAACAGTCTGTTTTCATTTCTGACTTTTCCATTTAAGAGAGGCAGAGTTTGTCCTGCGCAGCCGCTCCGGTCCGACAGGTGCAGCTCTGCTCTGCTCGGGTCCTGAACGTCAGCCCTGTAGAGTCTCTTTTATTCCACTGATGAGAAGCACCTGATTATAATGGGATTTTCTCAGCTCAACTTTCCGCGGCGCTTTGCAGCTTTTAGAGTTCAGCAATGAATTCATTTGTCTGTCAGGACTTCCTTCTGTAAAAAGGTTCAATGGCTTTAGAATAATGTATACGGGGACTTTGTCTCACTGCAAAGTCAGTTTAGTAGCTGTTCCCGAGCTTTCAGTGGCACCACACAGTCATCCTCAGCTAATGCAGCTGTCGTAGAATTGCAGGTGTTAAACTTCCAGGTGTTTTTCTTCCGTGTTGCATTAAAACTACATTTGGCAAACATCACCATTTTGACAGAAAAAAAGGACAAAGTCACAAAGTCTCGGGTTGAATAGTCAGAGACAATAGGGACGTTAGATATGGACTGACTGGCCGCCCCTCCTTTCTTTATGTGGCTGCATCTTCTGCAGTGTCTCAGAGAAGGAAAGGACCTGGGAGCCATAAAGCGGAGTCCAGACACAACCAGTATTCCACTAGCAAAATGGAAAATATATACATTTTTTTCTTGAGAAACCGGCCAAGTGGCAGCATGTATAGGAACAACAGAGACGTTCCAGGGCTCTAAAGGCTGGTGCTGATATTAAGTGCTCAATTTCAGTATCTTTATAAGGTTGCTTTACTCCACAAAATGTCAAAGAGTATTTCCTGTCAGTATTTCACTTGTACAGGATTTAAAAACACCAGAAAAAGAAGCCACAAACGTGTGAACACTACACAATTTTACAGAATAATCTTCTACAAGGAACTTCCTGTAAAGAATACATGTAATAGATATATGTCAAAAAACGTCCTATTGCTGTTGTTTCTAGTTTGCAATAAAAGGTCACTCTGTGCAGCCCTCATTAGGATGACTGTATCATCCTAGGGCTCACTGCCTCTGCTCAGTTGCACTGCAGCCACTTTGTGCACTGAATCTCCGCAGCTGATGTGCCCCCAAGATATGAACAAGTTAGCAAACCACAAAACGGCAGGCCTAAATGAATCCAATCAGATCTGTCAATTCAGATTTACTCACAAAACCTCAAGTTAATATCCCCATTAGATTCCTGCAGAGAGTTAACGTTTGTCTGCACAGCTCTAAAAGTGACTTTAATGTGTTTTCGTTTCATGTTTCTTCATAAACTTCCTGCAGTCACTTAGTTTATTACGGCATTACTGTAGTTATTCTGTAAGGGACATTTGGATTTACGTTCTAATCTTTCGACGCCGCTGGTGATTATTTTATCACATCAACAAAACCGACCCTATCTGCTCCTGTTCTCCAGGCTCTGCAGAGGAAACCAGTGAGGATGTACGCCTGTCAACCTCCTCCACAGCCTTGAGTCTGCTCATCGTGTAATAATAATCTGGCTGTTACTGTAAATACCAGATTCCTTTTTCACATGCGAATAACTGAGCTGTGGGGGAGTCAGAAAGTCTGTGTGCGTGTGTGGAAGGGAGGACGGAGGGAAGTCCTGCCGTTACCAGAAATAAGAAGTCGGACTTTAAGCACATCCCCTTCTGTTCTCCAGGCTTTCACCCACGTTGAAAAGCATTCCACCGGCCGCTGCCGAAAACTCACCAAGGTCACACTGCTCAACAACTCTTGATACCTCCCCCACCCCATCCACAGGTCGTCCACCACCCAAGATACCCGAGTACAGAGTGTAACTAAAACACGGCTGCAGTGAGCCGAAAAGCAGCGCTGCACGTGTGTTTCCTCACCACAGTCGCCCTCGTTGGTGTTTCCAGGCAGCAGGGAGAGGAGGGTGTCATGCCTCAGTTGTAGTGCAGGCACTGTGTGTAGTGTGAGGGTGTAATCACATTAAACACTGAAAGTGTTTTTTTCGATCTCTGGGGCACTCTCTGCCAACTCAGCAGCAGAGTCGTTTACAGCAGACCTGAAAACCTCCTAAAAATCCTGAAAAGGTTTCAGACTTCTGAGAAGAAAAACGGTGTAATCTGAGCCACTTGAGGTTTCAAAGAAGATTTCTTATCCGGGCCAAAAATTGTACATAAAGCTGTGTTGGACAAAATGGGATGGACTGATAGTACAGCTGCTTCCTGCTGTGATCTTAAAGCAATGGTTACCAACCTGGGGGTCAGGACCCCCATTAGTGGCCCGCCAAAGCTTCATGGTGGTTCGCCAGGCCTTGTTGATTTTAAGGCGTGTAAGAAAGCATTAAAATATACATAGTAGACCTATTTCTCTGCAGTTTCACTTATTTGAAGGAAAGTAAATGCAAAGTAAAGTAAATTGTTAAATAAATTGTCTAGATAGAACAATGGCCAAATGCCAGGGGTAAGAAAACACAGAATTTGTCAAAGAAACGTATCGTATGATTTAAAAAAAACAAAAAAACAACTTCTTGCAGTTACTGAGTTCTCTACTTGGGGACATAGTAAAGTTTTGGATATAATATGAAATATCCATAAAATATGTTGCTTAGTCAGTTAACTAAATGACAGATAAGGGGTCTCTTTGTTGGGAACCACTGGCTTAAAAGACCGTACCAGTACTTCTGCAGTCCAGTATAGAGTAGGGATGGGAGTGGAGAACCGGTTCCAATCAGAATCGTACGTTTCCAGTATTATCAATTCCTTTCATCAATGCCAACATGGTTTTCTGACAGCTGTGCATTACAATATAATAACTTGCAACGAGAAGGACTTGTGGTGAGAAGAAGAAACGGTCCAAAGCGTGACTTTTAACATTTCACACAGAAACTCAAACTACTGTAAATGTACTGTGTTCAAGCTCGGAGATAATAAAACAGTTAATAATAAACCTGTCTTGAAAATTGGTTTGGAATCAACTCAACTATTTATATAGCACCTTTCATACAAACATGCAGCCCAAAGTGATACAAGACAGTAGAAACAGTGATACAATAGAAACAATAAAATGTGAAACATTAAATAAAAAAACTAAAAGTTTGTATAAAATGCTTACCAGGGAGACAATAACATTACTCCAAAGTAAAGGGAAAAGCCAGATTATAAAGATTCACTAGATAATACTGAGAGAGGTCGCCACTCTATTATCCAGAGGCAGTGAGAAACCAAGGGCACTCTCACCGCTGCTCTAATGGGACACATAAGGAACATTTAAAAGAAAAGATCTGGCTGGAACATAAAATGAAAGAAAGTCTCAGATGTGTGGATGAGCTTTATAAACAAAGTAAAATAACTTTAAAATCAGTTCTAAAAAGATTGTGCATCCAGAGAAGTGATGTGATCCATTTTCCTAGTTTCCGTTCAGACTCTGGCATTCTGAGTCAGTCAATAAAGGAATCAACAAAGAATTGGACCAATAAGCAAAATCAATAATGGCAGTGGTATCAATAACATTGTATCAATTTCCTTCCCTAGTACAGAGCTAAAATGATGGCAAAAAATGACCTGGCAACTATTCAGTTAATACATTTTCAGGGATTTACGGATACCAGAATAAAGTGGTATCGGAGGGTTTTCATCATTACAATTACACGTAATATGGTATTGGATCTGATACCCGATACTGGTATCAGTATCAGTGCATCCTTTTCTGTTTGTTTTTTCAAGCAAAAATGCCAAAAAATATTTCATGTCAGCTTCTCTTGTGCACTGTAGTAGTTATAAGTAACTTAGATCTAATAAAAACCACTGAGGTAACGTTAGTAATAGTAATAATAATAATAATGATGATAATCAATGCAGGTTTTATTTAAGAAAAGGCTTTGCAGATTACATTCAACCCTTCAGGATGCATGCGTCATTAAATGAGGAGAAACTGAAGATGAACAAAACTATGTTTGTTTTCTGAATTCCATCTCTAACTTAATATGTAAATGTAACCCGTTGTGTCTATGATTGGACCAAATATGTTCTATTGAATGGATGGAAGCCCTGTTTACTGTTGTTGGCCTGTATAATTATAACCCCTGCTGTGCTGCTGATGAGTGATAGTCAGCTGCTGACTGCTGGACGAGTTTGACACTAGAAGGATGTTTTCACATTCATCTGCTGAAAGTGGAAAGTTTCTCTGTGCTCATTGGAAATCAGATTTTTAAGGGGCGGAGCCTACGAGCCTGACGTTGAAACTTAAAGCAATCAGTGCGCATTCATATCCAGATACATGGGCTACGATACAATTCAGGGACAATGCATTTTAATAAGGAACATATGCAATGCATTTCAATGCAATCTGACACACTTCTTAACATTTGTTTAATGTAGACATTTATTTTTCATTCTAAATTAAAATAAGCCAGTTCTATAAAAGTGCCAATGCTTAAGTGCTATTTCTCTTTATGGGAAAAAAGTGAAAGACAAATGTCACAGACTTTCAGCCCAGTTGGAGCTCAGTTGCGGCTGTAAAGTGTTTAATATCTTACGTGTTCTTGCTTGTGCTTGCTGCATTAGCATAGACAGACACCATGCTGTCGCACCATGTGACTGTTAAGGTCTGTTGTGCTACTGCTGGACTGTCTGACAGATCTTAGAAATGGACAGACTTTTGTCCAACTTTCCCTCTTCCAAACTTTAGATTTTAGATTTGATGGTGCGCTGTAGGTCGTGTCGGCGTTGTCGACGAGCCACGGTGCGTTAACGTTATTCTTGTCACTGTTGTTAAAACCAATTTCTGACTCAAAATGGTTGTGTGGGTTTTTGCTCTTTGGGGATAGCTGTGGTCGATGTTAGAGGTGTTTTTTATTGTGTTTTAAAGGCCGTTATAGCTGTACTGATTGTTGGAAGTGACAGTGTAGTGTAGTGTAGTGTGCTAGGTGGATGTTTTGTGTGAAGACCTGTATGTGTGCTTGTCCCAGAGAGCTTCAGGGTGGTTCTACATACACACAACAATTCATT